AGACCCATTGACTTTTGCTATGAATAGATACAATATTTTCTAGAAGACCCTCTAGAGGTCTTTTATAGTTAGCAGATCTTCTAAAGGTTTTTTATAGCTTGGAGATCATCTCCGGCATTTCTACGCCTCGACGACCTTTTGAAGGTCTTCTATGTAACTTCTAAAGGTCTTTCATTAATAGTAGATTCTTTGCAGGACTACCGTAAATGGAGGATGGAAGACTCTATGGAGGCCTGTTATAGATGCAAGAACTTCTTCAAAAAATAGAAAAATCCTTATGAGATATTTTATTAAGAAGGAGGTTGTTGTAGTATTCATACTTTTCAATTCAAATACTTTGTTGAAATGTTTGTGTGTGCTTTTCTTGTCAATCGGTTTTGAGTTTTTTTTTTTATTGTTTCCTGAATTTTTCTAATAAACCTTTTTATAAAAATCTTATATATTACGGATTTTCAATTTAAGAGCTTGTGGACTCACGGTGGATTCTTACTGCGTGAGATAAATACACAGAAATAAGGAGTTAATCTTACAAAGGTTATGGGCCCAGATTTCCGAAGTTCTTAAATATAATTTTGCAAATTGGACATCTGGGAATAAGGGAAGTAAAATGGCTAATTCTGTGGCTAGCATAGAGAAACTAAACAGCGAAAATTATGGAACGTGGTGTATCCAGGTAAAGAGCTTGCTAATAACGTTGGATCTATGGAATACTATTGAGATTGAATGTCCTATTGGTGCTGCTGAAAAAACAATTTGGATGAATAATGATAGAAAAGCTTTAGCAACGATAACTCTTTCTGTGAAAGCGAGCGAATTAATACACATCAAGAATTGTGCGACAGCTAAGGAAGCATGGGATGTACTTAGTTCATTATACAAGGCTGACACGGCATCCAGAAAGGTGAAGTTATTCAAGAAGTTGGTTCGGTTCAAGTTCAGACATGCTGAGAAATTTTCAGTGCAAATAAATGAATTTTGTTGCACGATTGATGAACTAAAGGAAATTGGAATAAGTTTGAATGATGATTTATTGACCATTTTATTGCTCTGTAGTCTTCCTGATGAAATGGAAGGTTTTGTTATAGCTATTGAGAGCAGAGACAAATTACCCACCTACGATAAATTAATTTCCAAGATTTTGGAGGAAGAAACCCGACAAGGCGACAAGACTGTGGATAATGGCGAGACTGCGTTTGCCGCAAACTCCAAGAGCGGTAACAAAAGTCATAATAAAGATCAAATTTATGGGCATAATCTGAAAAATGAAATGCATACGCAACAATCAAAAACCAATTTCAATAATAAGAAATCGCCTACATCAAATATGAAATGTTTTCGTTGTGGTAAGATAGGACACATCCGATCTCAATGTAAAAATGGTGATAGTGAGAAGAGAAGAAGAGATTATGCGTGTTCCTTATATGATGATAGACCGAAAATTGCAACATCATGGATTATGGATAGTGGGGCGACATCACATATGTGCAGGAACAAACTGTTTTTTCAATCATTGACAGAATCAAGACAGCAAATTATATTGGCATCTGGGGAAAGTATTTTTGCTGAAGGAATTGGTGATATCAAATTGCAGACTTCTACTACAACTCTGACATTGCGAAACGTATGGTATGTACCCCAACTTCATTCAAATTTCTTATCAATCTCAAAGATAATCAAAGCCGGGCATTCCGTGGTATTTCACGATAATGGAGCAGTAATGAAAAGTACCCATGGCGTTAATATATTGATGGCTGAATTGGTGGATGAGATGTTTATTGCAAAGGTTAGAATGGAAAATGAAGTTCAGTCTTTGAATGTTGCTGTTGACAAGGATGTAACTCAAAAATGGCATAAACGATTTGGTCATATGAATGTACACGATATGTGTAAATTAGTGTCAAAAAACATGGTTAATGGATTGGTATTGAAAGTTCCTGATAGCATAGATTGTGTCACATGTGGACTTTGTAAAATATCTGCCAAACCATTTAAAGCTTATTCTACAATTCAAACGAAAGACGTATTGGAATTGTTGCATATGGATATATGCGGACCTATGGATGTGCAGTCGATAGGTGGATCTTCGTATTTTATGACCATTATAGACGATTTTTCTCGTTTCACATTCGTATTTTGCTTGAAGAAGAAATCTGAAGCTTTTGAAGTTTTCGAACGTTTTGCTGCAACCGTAGAGAAGCAGACAGATCGTCAGATTAAGGTTGTTCGTAGTGATAACGGTAAGGAATTTATAAATATCAAATTCCAAAATTTCTTTGCAAGAAAGGGTATAGTTCATCAAACGACAGTTTGTTATACCCCTCAGCAGAATGGAGTAGCCGAGAGAGCTAATAGGACTTTAGTGGAGATGGCCAGAAGTTTACTGCATTCGTCTGGTTTACCACAAAGATTGTGGGGAGAGGCAATTAATACAGCTGCCTACATAAGAAATAGAGCTCCCACTAAGGTTCTTGGAGATGTTACTCCATACGAGAAATGGATAGGTAGAAAACCATCCGTACATCATTTTAAAATTTTTGGGTGTGATGCAATTGTCTTACAAAAAGGTCCGAAATCTAAGGGAAGAAAATTTATGCCGAAAGGAGTCAAAATGAAATTCGTTGGTTATTCCACTTCATCCAAAGGATATCGGTTATGGGATTCTAAATCAAAGCAAATTCGCGTTGCTCGAGATGTTTTATTTTACGAAGAGTCGTTTGAAAAGTTATCGGATGAATCAATCGAACCTGAAGTGTTTTGTACAGAGATTTTGAAGCTGACAAACGATCGAGAAACTAATAATACTCGTGTCGAGGCATCTGAATTGCCATCATCAAACATACAAGAGCCAATTATTCCAAATAATAAAAGAAGGAACAAATGTATTATTCCACAGACAGATAGAGTTCTTCGACCAAGGATAGTCGAAAATGTAGAAATGTTGAACTCAATAATTGAAAACCCTCAAACAATTGCGGAAGCACTGGGTTCCGAAAATTCAGATAAATGGAAAGAAGCAATGGTAAGGGAATATGAATCCTTAATGAAGAATCAAACGTGGACTCTCGTTGATCGACCCAAGGGGAAGAATATCATAGGATGCAAATGGGTGTTTTCCCTGAAACGCAAACCTGATGGTTCCGTTGAAAAGTATAAGGCTAGACTTGTGGCGCATGGATGTTCCCAGAAGTATAATGTGGATTATAAAGAAACATTTGCTCCTGTTGTTCGACATTCGGTCATACGATTATTCCTGTCATTGGCTGCACAACATAAATTGTTGGTAAATCATATCGACGTTGTAGCGGCATATTTGAACGCGGATTTAGATGAAGAAGTTTACATGATGCAACCTCCTATGTTTGACAATAACACAAGTCAAGTATGCAAATTACAAAAATCTTTATACGGTTTGAAGCAAGCAGGCCGTGAGTGGAACAAAAAGGTCAACGATATTTTGATGAAAAATAATTACAAAAGATGCAAATCCGATACTTGTGTGTATGTCAAAAGGGAAGGAAAAGATATCAGCCTGATTGCTTTGTATGTCGATGATATGTTAATAGCATGTTCTACTGAGAGGCAAATGAACGAAATTGTATCGAATTTGAATAAATATGTAGAAGCTATAGATCGTGGTCCTGTGAAGTTTTTTTTAGGCATGGAAGTTGAACGTGATGAACCCAGAGGTGATATAACTATCCATCAAAAGATGTACTGTGAAGAAGTACTGAAGCGTTGGAAAATGTCAGACTGTAAGCCTGCAAACACCCCATGGCCTAATGGTACTGTTTTGGTCAAGTGTGATATGAATTGTACAGACTTGGATACACATTCGTATCAGAGCTTGACAGGTGCTTTAATGTATTTGGCGGTAATTTCAAGACCGGATCTAATGCACGTAGTGTCAAAACTGTGCCAATTCAATTCTCATCCACACAATGAGCACTTTCAAGTAGCTAAGCATGTCTTGCGATACTTGAGAAATTTCCCAGAGGGAAGAATTACGTTAAAAGCCAATTCAGGAAATCTTAATTGTTTTGCGGATGCTGACTGGGGATGTGATGTGAATGATCGCAGGTCCTACTCAGGTTTTGTCTTGTTTATGGGAGACGGTGCAGTAGCCTGGGAATCACGCAAGCAATCAGTGGTAGCTTTAAGCACGATGGAAGCTGAATATATAGCCTTATGTCAAGCTACTAAAGAAGTGTGTTTCCATCGAGAACTACTTAATGAGTTAGAATTCAACATGTATGTAGAATACCCTACCAAAATTCTATGTGATAACCAAGGAGCTCAGTTTTTGGTAAAAAATCCAACAGTTCAAAAGAAGAGCAAACATATTGACATCCGCTATCACTATGTACGCGAAAAATATGATGATCATGTAATTGATATCGAATATATTTCTTCTGATGAAAATGCAGCAGACATTCTAACTAAAGCATTGGGAAAACAACGTCATCAGCACAATTGTAAACTTTTACATATTACAATGTAATATTTGCATTTGTTATTTTAAGAAAGCATTTGATTTGAGGTGGCAATTGTTGTAGTATTCATACTTTTCAATTCAAATACTTTGTTGAAATGTTTGTGTGTGCTTTTCTTGTCAATCGGTTTTGAGTTTTTTTTTTATTGTTTCCTGAATTTTTCTAATAAACCTTTTTATAAAAATCTTATATATTACGGATTTTCAATTTAAGAGCTTGTGGACTCACGGTGGATTCTTACTGCGTGAGATAAATACACAGAAATAAGGAGTTAATCTTACAGAGGTACTAAAAGTCAAAGAAAGTACATCACGGCGAAATACTATTAGGGAGAGATCGTTTTTAAAATTTCTGGGTTGGATAGAAATTTGAAATTTTGCTCTATTCTTTGAAGCAAGCCGATCGGCAGCAACTTTTATACCGTAACTTGGTATGATCATCACTCTTTGGAGAGATGTGGCGGAATATTTGGAAATTCGTATCTTTGTTAAATAAATATAATTTACTCACCGATTGCCCCAGTCGATTTTCGAAACAACAGTCATTTGCAATTCCAATGTTTGATCTTGGGTTAAAGTTGCGCCCAACAATTCGCGACGGCTTTCCAATATTGACAACATCACCTTGCGCAATGTTGTGAATTTGTAGGTTTCTCGATCCTAAAAAGAATGAAAATCAATGAGACAAACTTATCAAAATAAATTCTCCATTTACATACCACAAACAGTTTTTTCCATATTTCCGACCATTCTCGAAGGACTTGTGTGCATTCCGCAACGACCGGATCAATTTTGCTCAAGTCTTTTATGTGTATATAGGTTTTGGGAAATATTCCCACCGCTCGCGATTTTCGCGGACATGTGCCGCGAAACCATTTGGGACATTCTTCTAGAATTTCCACCGAATCACCGACATCTAAAGCTAAGCCACAACGCACGTCACCATGCCAGTTGTGTATTGCTGGAAAGGGAGGAGAGAAATGGATTATAAAATTATATTGAATGACATATTTTACGATATTCTAATCAAGGATTGTTAATTGAAAAAGGACCATTTTTGTAGTGGAATTTTCGAACTCACTTTTTTAGTTTGATTAAATATCGATAAAATTTAAAAGAAAAAATATTTTTGAAAAGTCCAAAATCTGCTATGGGTAGGACTTAGGGACTACTTTATTTGGCGGAAAATTTATAAGATTTTTAATTTTACTAATTGTTGGTTGGTAAATAAAAAATGGACAGTTCTTGTACCAATGAAGTCCTACTGGCCCTTGCGATATAAGCCAGGACAGTTATGTCAAAACAATTCGAAATTCCAAATTACTAAATTAATTGAGCCAGCAAATTCAAAATATTTGTTTCACAATTTGAAATCTAGGCCATTTTAAATTTTAAATCTTTCTAAAAATTTCCAATCCATTTGATTGTATTCAAGCGTGAATGTTTCCATTACATTTGATGGCATTGGGAATAGCAATTTGCCACGTTGTATAAATTTGTCATTGTTGCTGTTGCAAATTATCCATGTCGTAATGAAGTTTCAAATCATAATAATTAAAAAATATTTAACTGTTCTCAAAAATAATGATGAGTGTTTTTTAAATTGCATCAAAATTGAAATTTCCTGATTTAAACTGATTTTATAAAACCCAAATGAAAGTGATTCATAGAATGCAGAATGCTACTTACTTTCATACATATACACAGACATGTATTTATAGCTAATTGCGATATGTTTAGTTTTATTCAAAAAACACAACAACGACAACAATGTATTTTCTTGGCCAGCGTTGTGATAAATTAAGTAAATTGCCTTCTTTGGGGTTTATGGGTCACGTTTGTTTTTTTAAGAAAATATACTTATTTACATTAAATTGTGGGGCGGTCCAGAGGACAAAATGAGATGTTGTTGAGGCAATTTCCGAAAGGGAACATTACAACTATTTCAGGATTCTGACTTTATAATTTAACAAAAATTAAGTACTGTCTGAGTACATACTTGTACGATTTCCTTAAATATATGCCCTTAAAATTTAAACTGAAGTTTTAAGGACCCCTTGTCGTTCCCTCACCAATCTCTAAGGGGGCCATAATATTTACATTTTTTTTTAATTTTATTGAGTGAAAACAAAAAATGTCGGAAATAGGATAAAATTTTGGAATATTTTTAGATTTGTTCGAATTGGTCACCTTTGGCACGAATTATGGCCTTCAAAGGGCCAATGAATGTTGCTCTGCGGTATTTTGGTCCATTTCCGCCAAAGCGCTTGCTTTAGGTGATCGACACTTTGGTATTTTTTAGTGCCAACCTTGCTTTCAGACACAATAGTCCAACGGATTGGTATCCGGAGATTTTGGTGGCTATTGTGCGCTGGAAATGAAGCGAGGAACCCCATTTTGCCACCATTCTTGGGTGACGCGTGTTGAGTGCGATAGTGATGAGTCCTGTTGGAATGTCCAAGGTCTGCGACCAAAATGTTTGCGTGCCCAAGGTTTTAATACACCCTCCAGAATATTTTCGCGATAATATTCGAAATTTATTCTGATGCCACGGTCGATTAATACGAGCGGAGAGCGACCATCGGCTGTTATGGTCGGCACTTGAGTTCTGGTGGCCAACCGAAGGTGCACATTTTCAGCTGACCTCGTGTTTACTTGATCACGATCACTGCTGGACAACGAATGTTCATTCATCGCAGAAAACCAAATTCGGCGGTTCAACACTTTCGGCCAAGCGAAGCAAATCTTTAGCTCTTTTGAGTCTATTTTCTTTCCGTTGCGGTGTAAGTTCTTGCACTTTTTTGGTATTTCAATGGCTTTACCCTGAGCTCATTTTTCAATATTTGCCGAATGGAATATAGCGATATGTTTAGCTCACGAGCCATTTTTCGGCCACTGCGACGCGGGTGCCGATCAAGTCGCTTCTTTACATTTGGAACCATTTTTGCTGATGCTGCTGTTTTTTTCCGTCCACTTCCTTGATGTCGGGCTACGCTAACAGTATCACGGTAATGAGCGATGGCAGTTTCCGATTTGATCTAAACTTGGTGCATCGTAATATTATTGTCAAACTTAGGTCGAGTTCATAGATGGGCAATATCTCTAGTACCTCCCCCACAATGTGTGAACATTTTGAATATTCATGAGGCTCGTAAAACGCGAATTTAACATCCGATTATATTCAGACTTGGCTCATCTCAAGATCTGTTATAAAGATCGTAGAGATCGGACCATGCCTTCTGGAACCTCCCCCACAATGCTTAAATAACAAAAAGATTATAAAATGTGAAATAAGCATCGGTTCCCTAATTTACACATCCCATTATTTTTCCTAACACAAGATCTGCTGAGAAAATTGGATATAGCAGTCTATTGCTTCTGATAACTCCCTCACAAGTTCGCTGGGCCGAACTTTGAATACCCTCCACCATTTGCAACAAATTTAACATTTTTCAAAAAAAATTAAATCCGTTAAAAATTTTGTTAACATCTTTAAAATTCCGAATGAAGCCGTTAGGGTCTATACGACGGCGTAAACCTGCATAGGCAACTTTTGTAACAAGCTATTAGAATGTTCAAACGCGGAACTTAAAAAAACTGTTTATAATGTAGCTAAAATCATCAAAATACCGAATATCGGGAGGTACCGTTATATGGTGGTTATACGAAGACGTGGACCTAAATGACCCATTTTCTGTCTTAAGCCGTAGTATCTATTACGAACTTTAAATACTAATTTTGAAACAATTCCGGTTAATAATGTCGCTAAAATCATCAAAATACCGCATATCGGGAGGTACCGTTATATTAGGTCTACACGAAGACGTGGACCTACGTGGACCATTTTCAATACCAAAAGTCCTGCATACATAATACACATTTAAGTAAAATTTGGTCAACCTATTTCATTTCGTTCGGATGCTAGAGTGATTTACACAGACGGACAGACGGACGGACATGGCTAAATCGTCTTAGAATTTTGCTCTGATCAAGAATATATATACTTTGTTGGGTCTAAGGTCATTATTTCGATGAGTTTCAAACGGAATGACAAACTTAATATACCCTACATACTATGTGGGAGGGTATAAAAATTAAACAATATTATTATTGATCAATCGATTCGGGCTAGAACTTCGAAATTTGGTAAGAAAGTAGAATACTTGGGTAAATGGTTGTAATTTTTTTAGAAATCCGTGCTTTAAGAGTACAAAAAGTACAAAATGGTACAATGTTCTTAGTGGTCGTTCAAAAAGGGTCAAAATTGAAAAAGCTCCAAATCTTACGTAACACCCAAGACAATGTTCTACTTGTTTGTACCTTTTGGTACTTTTTGTACCCTTAAAGTATGATTTTTTCTGCATCTCCTTAACCTACTTTACATACATTTGTCCAATTTCTAAAGTGTGTACATTGCTCCCTCCTTTTCAGATACTCATTTCAGTATCCACTTCCCCACTCTCCACCACATGGAGGCTACTCATCAACCAACCCTCGCTGCCAATTTTCGGTATTGAATTAATTATTTCCCAATTCATTCCCGGCAGTTTTGCATTACGGCAAAAGTGTTGATGATGGGTGATTGCAATGCATTTTCGAAGTTCGCAGTTTGTTTTTTTTCTCTCTGCCCCGGCTTAATGGTTTATGATTCGCTTTATGTTCATTTTTATGTTCTCCTTCCCATTTTTTCAGAACAATAACACATTTTTTTTGTTTTATTTTATTTTGTTTCATCCATGATTGGCACTTATATTGGTAATTTCCAAGATGTCTTCTTCATCATCATCAGGTTTTTATGACTTCGATGTTTGCCCCAAACCCCTTTTGCTATCTTTGGGGGAAACAGTAGCGGCGCCTATTGCCGCCCAAGTCCAACCCCTTCCTATCTCCTCGGCCACGCCATTGTTCAGCCACTGTTGGATACTTCAAACTGTACTTGTGCTACTCCACCAAAGCACTTTTAAAAACGAAGTCAGTTCTTCCTTCCTTCCTGCTTTGCTGGATGGCTCTTCATTGGATTGTCTTCTTTGCCTGCTTCATGTTTTGTACGTCTGTGGGTGTGGGTGTTTGAGTGTGTCTCTGCTGCCTTATCTTGAGCCACAATATTGAAGTTGAAGTAGTTTGTGAAGTATCCAAAGTATTAATAGATTAAATATTTATTGTGTTGAACACATATTAAAGACATAAAAAAGACGCCACTCGAAATGGAATGAATACCTATAAACATCTGCACACACACACACGTCCATACATACATATGTATTCTTGATGTAAGGAGCAAAAGAGGCAATGAGTTGGATTCCCTTTTGGGGGGTTGGAGTCTAAATGGTGTACGCCGCCCATAAACTTAACCGAATGCCAGCGAATGAAGATGTTTTGTCTTTGGGAATTCAGTTTTGTTGTCTTTTTTACATTTAATTGCTATTCGCGAGAAAAAGGCAGCAGTTCCACGTCTTTTTTTTTGTATTGACCGCCACTGTGTAATATGAACAAATACGGCAGTACGAAATGAATTGCAATTAAAGTAAGCAAAGTCAATATCATTGACTTTACCTGATATGGCAGCAAAAGTTTATGTTTAATAAGAGTGAAGATATATTTTGCTACAATGCATTGAAGAGCTGAAAAATTTAATTTGTGTATTTAAGAATGTGTTTAAACCTCGTAAAGAATCAAATAAGTCATGAAACTAATTTTCTAGAAATTTCACGGTGCCCGTGACATAATCCCCATTGGAGATTATGTCAAATTTGTTGTCCCACAATAATGTGGGAATTATGTCCACTGCCAAATCGTTTTCCTAAAAACTATGAATCGCGTATATATATATATATATATATATATATATATATATATATATATATATATATATATACTATATATACTATATACTATATACTATATATAGTTTAATAGCAACAAAGTCAAAGAATGAAAGCAACAAATTTCGGAAATAGCATT